GAGAGAGAGAGAAAGGGGGAGAGAGAATGGGGGAGGGAGAGAGAAATAGAGGGGGAGAGGGAGAGAGAGAAACAGAAAGGGGGGGAGAGAGAGACGGAGGGAGGGTGGAAGAGAGAGGGAGAGAGAGAGGGAGGAGAGGGAGAAGGGGGAGAGGGAGGGAGAGAGAAAGAGAGGGGGAGGGAGAGAGAAATAGAGAGGGGGAGCGGGCGAAAGAGACGGAGAAAGAGAGAGGGGGAGGGAGAGAGAGAAAGAGAGAGGGGAGAGAAAGAGAGAGGGGAGAGAGAAAGCGGGGGGGGGGAGACAGGGAGAAAGAGGCTCGTGTCACAGATGAAGCTTTGGGAAGTTTGAGAACAGAGGAAGCGGAAGTCCTTCGCCTAGTTCAGGGAGCACAAGGGGCGCTCGCCAACTCCCCCCCCACCTTAAAAGCCGACGGGGTGACACATTTTAAAATCCTCCCTGCTTACCCCCCCCCCGCCGCCGCAATGATCTACTTAGCCTGGGTCTCGTTTCCCAAACGTCTCTCCCTCTTGGTCCTTAAGCTCAACCTGGGGAGGGGGAAGACCGGCGGGATTCATTTTGCAAGGGGGGGGGGAAGTTAAATTGAAACCTCTCCCAATCCCCATTTCTTTCTCTCCCTGCACCCCCCCCCCCCCCCCCCCACTTCAAATAAAGTTGAATTTCTGTTTTAGACCAAGCCCCCGGGCCGAAGCATCTCGCCGGCCTGCGGGATAGAGAAGCGCGAGAGACCCTCATGAATGTATTTATAAACGGTTCCTTTTCTCCTTCCGGGGAGTCGAAAAGCCAACAAACGGGTCCCTAACAATAAAAATCCTAATAAATGAAAAAAAAAACCACGTTGTCACTGTTTAAAGGAGAGAACCTCAAATCAGCCGGTTTTATTTTTATTTTAGATATTTGGCTTTTTTTTTTAAAGGGAGAAATGGAAGGGGGGGAGGTACCCTTCCACCCCACCCCACCCCCTTTTTTCCTTGTAGTTATTTATTCGATTTTTAGGCAGATTTAAGCGTTCCACCCAACCAGCCTTTTAGAGTAAAAATGAAATCGGGATGTTTGCCAAGGATGGAGAGTTGGAAAACCGGCATTATTGTATTATTATATTAGGCTAGTCCCCCCCCCATTTCCCCTGTTTAAAATGATTAGGATGGGGAGGGGGCCAGTTTCCTTAAAAAGGCGTCTTTAGATGGTAGGTAAAATGTACAACGTTAAACCAACGAGACAGAGACAAGGTTCGCGAACTATTTTAGGGTGGGGGGGCTGCGGTTTAAAGCAGCCCGTTTTGGTTATCTGGTGAATATTTCTCTCCCCCCACCCCCAACGAGTTTCTATAATCTCCCAACTGAACGAATAAAGCCGTCCTTCTGCTTTTTTAAGCCACCCAGCGGAGAGACCTCTTGACCTCACGTAACCCCTTCCCCAAGAGACTTAATCCGGAGTGAAACTCGTTTTAGCCGTTAGCCACGTCAAACGTCGCTCGGGGGGGTGGGGTGCCCCGCGAAGCCTGCCGAGGCTTCCTTAGAAATAGCGCCTTCCTCAGTAACGAGTTCGAATTCGGCCCGACGGTCTGAGATGCGAACACAAATTAAGCCGAGGCCCCTGGAGTTTTAAAAAACAAAACAAAACCAAACCGGGAAATTTAAGGATAGATTTTGCTGAAAGCAACTGGGCTTTGCTGCTGGTTCGAAAGATCTCTTGAAATTGGAAAAGCACAGCCTAATAACTTGGACAGCCCCCCCCCCCCCCAAAAAAAAAAATCGATTTTGGGGCTTGTTTATTTTCTGAGTTCTAACGAGATTGGATCCGGAGCAAGAACACTACAGTTATCCGGATTTAATGAGGTTCATTTCTCAGCAAATAGGCTTCAGTTGGTGCACGTTCAGAGGTTGCAATTCGGTCCACTAACGGCCACTTGGCCGGGTGGAAATGGAATCTGGCCCAACTTGGCTTAAAGACGTATTTGATTCTGGCTTTCAAAATCCGTGCGGCAAAAATGTGCAGGGAGGCCGACTTCGACTAACGGCGGCGAGGGAAGGGATTTCCGTCCGCCGTTCCAGCCACATCCCCGTTGAAATCAACCCGTATCTGCTCTTCTCCGTAGCTTTTGGCAAGCGGAAAGTAACGAACAGTTCCGAAAAGTACTGTAGGAAGGAAAGTGGCGGGCCGTGGTTTGAGCTCAGCTGGAGAAAAAAAAAAGGCGCGCGGGAGGGGGAAGGCAGAGAAAGGGGAAGAATAAGGGAAGAGAAAAGCGAGAGTCCGGGAGAAAAGGAATAAAAGGGCCAGAAGACAGTGAAAGGGAAGGAGGGAGGGAGGGAGGGAGGAAACGTGTGACAGACGGAAAAAAAGAACGTAAAGATAAAGGGGAAGGAAGGAAGGAAGGAAGGAAGGAGGGATAGGAAGGATAGTGGGAGGGAAGG